TTTCTATACAGGCGCTGCGTAGAGCATCCTCACACAGAACATCACATCATGGTAATGGGAACAGCTGTATTAAGGACCAAAAAGCTCTTCAGAGAGTGATCCGTACAGCAAAACGCTGCTGCAGGACTGCTCTCCCCTCCCTACAGGACATTTACACCAAGAGATGCTGGACTAGAGCAGCTCAGATACTGAAGGAGTCGTTCCGCTCCAGCAATAAACTGTTCCAGCTTCTGCAATCAGGCAGAAGGTTCTGCACCATGCGGACAAGAACAGAGAGGCTCAAGAGGAGCTTCTACCCTCAGGCCATCTGTGTGTTAACTCAGCCCCCCTCCAATCAACCATAACGAACTGAGAAAGGACTCACATTCCCATTTCATGCCTGATCCTTCTGACTTCATTGCGGCACAAGCCACTTTAACACCCCACTCACACAATGTACATTCCCAAATTTTGAACTGTAAATTTCCAGATTGTTTTATTCTAACTTAATGTACATAATTCACTCACTTATCACACGTAATGTCCTCTTTGTATACATCTACTTACTTACTGTATATATTGTTTTTTGTCTCTCTATTTTGCACAGTTGAGGAGCGTATCAGGTCACATTTCACTGTGTGTTAAACTGGTACAACTATGTACGTGACAAATAAAGTGATCTTGAATCTTGATATTAAGCTTGTTTTATTTCATTTCATTTTACTTTTTAAAGCCTTTTATTAATGATTATCATAGAAAAGAACCAGCCTACCCTAAACAGAAACAGTGATGTCTCTTATTGGTGGATGTAGCAGTGACCATGGACCCGCACCAGTCCAACATAGTCCATCACTGGACACTGACCCACAGCACTGATAAATACCCAGTTTAACTTCTTCTAGTAAAGTCAGTCACACTGAAGAATCTGAGCTTGAACAGCACAGAGTTAAAAACACGTCCATACCTATGATGTGTGAGTTTCTGTCGGGTGTCCGGCTGATATCCAGCAGTCTGTGCTGACGGTTGATCTCCTCCTCATACTGGACGATGGTTTTTTGAACCTCTGAGAAGATTTCTTCACAAACAGCAGTTAGTCTCTGCTTGATGAACTCTCTCAGATACTGATACGAACTCATTGCTGCTTCAACTGGGGCTGGGCGGATCGATACAAGCATCGATAGAAGCGATACCGACAGTGGTATTGGTACCAAATCCGCACTAATGTGACGGGATCAGTACTTTAATTTGTGTCTCTCCTTTAAGTTCAGTCCACTTCATCAAACAGCAGCCATGGCCACACCCACAGCACCTCTCGTTCTTCACAGCTTAATGGCATTTGGCAAACAGATCCATTATCGTCACCTGTGCAGACAGGAGTAAAGCAGGGAAATCAGGTACACACTTCCTGTGTGGCTCTCCCTGACAAATTCTTCCCAATACTAGCAAATTACTGCATCCAAGATAAAAATCACAGTGCTTCACTCACGATATGATGTGATATATGTGCAATGTATATGTTCTGTCATCTTTAAATCACGTCCTCACAGTGAATCTTTTGTCATTCTTATTTAATCCAATAAAACAGAAACAAGTAATATGAGCTGCTTTGATACTTACAGCATCTCAGAACAAAACCATCTCCGTGGTGGGGAGGTCTAACCTCATAGCTAATTTATCCACTGTACATCTTACTTTGTTCAGAAAACTTAATAACAGCAGCCAAACCGTTGCCGTTACATTTCTCCCTGTAATATGTGTTTTAAACCAGCACTATTGTCCCTGTTTTCTTTTCTTTTTTCTATTTCAGGTACTCCCCATACCCCCACAGACGCTCTTTTGTTGTCAGGCAGCAGACTGTGGAGTTCATTAACGCTTATTTGACTGAGTCGTGTGTCTTTATCTTGCTGAACCACATCTCTACAAACACTCATCAGAGATCCGTTTCTCAGTATTTTAGCACTCTTCATCTCCCTACAGGCGTATTTATCGCTGTTGTAGCTGAATCTGGTTCCACTCACCGAACGACGACCGTCTGGAGACGATTTTATGATCACGTTAAATCCGTCCTCGTGTGTCGTTGTCACGGTTACACTGCGCTCACTGTCCGTTTCCTCCACATTACAGGTTTACTTTCACTCTGCTTGTCGTTTTTCGCCTGTTTTAACGTATTTCCGCTCTCCCGCCATCTACTTCTGTTCGCGTTTCACTTCCTGATACGTCACTTCTCTCCTGCCCATTCACAGCCAGCTGGCCAAACCCTGGTCGGCCCCGCCCCCTCCACTTCAGCTCTACTGTGGTCACTTGGAAGAGCTAAGTTTCTTTGTCTACTCTAAAACTATTTCTCTATTTTATTTCTCTAAACTATTTTATATCGCACAGAGACAGCGTTAACATCTAAATATGCATCAGATGTGCAACATGTTGAAAGACACCTCCATATATTTGTTATTGATACAGTATTTATCACAGGTCCTCCATGCATTCTCCTGCTGTATATCATTAAATAAGGAAGAGCAGGAGTGTTTAGAAGCAGAGACAGTAACAGAAATAATTAGATTCCTAATATTTTTCTTTCTCAACACATCAGAGCAGTGGAATGGTCTTGAAGGTTGCGTTGCTTAAGTTTACATGTCTGTATGTAGGTGTGTGTATCTGGGTCATATAACTCCACAAGTATCTCACTTTAGCACCTAGCAGACCTAACTTTACACAGTAGACAAGATGATTGTTACTTAATGGGTTTGTGCAGGATTTGAACTCAGGACCACTTACACACACCCAGGGACAGGATCATACACCTAGACCAAGAGTCAGCAACCTTTAAAACCCAAAGAGCCATTTGGACCCAGTTTCCACGCAAAAGAAAACACTGGGAGCCGAGCCGCAAATACTTTTTGACATCTAAAATGAAGATAACACTGTACATCGTCGTGTCTGTCGTGATATTTTTACAATGGGACTTCTGCTCCTGAACCTCTGAACAAAGCCTCTGCAAATCGGGGCTGTACGAAATCACTTTCATCTTTACGCAGGACTGTAAGCTGCTGTCTGTGAGGCGTGAGCAGTGTTTGTGTTTAACATAGTTCACGGTGGAGAACTGCTGGTGACATAATGTGGATCCGAAGATCCATAATTGGCCTACCTGGGGTTGAAAGTCTCGATAAATGCACGGCGTTTAGGCTTCCGCGAGTTTGACGCTTATTTTGAGTGATGAAAAAATTATAGAATATTTGTTTTGAGATGTTTTGAGATGTGACAGATTTGCGACGTTTAGTGCAAATCTTGTGTAGTTAGTGTGTAGTGTAGCCAATAGTTTTGTTGTGTGTGTCAGAACAATGAGGCGACTGCTGAGAGTGTTACAGGAGTGATACATCTCCTGTTGTCAGGCCTGCAGGTATCAGGCTGTTCTCCTTTATCTTATAGTGGACAGAATTTTTTTTTTTGCAGTGGCACAAATAATTTTTGTGGCATCAAATTTGATGCATAACAGCTGATTGTTCTGTAAATAGTTTGAAATGTTTATTTAAAAAAATGCCTTGGCTGCATTTTTATGTAACAACAGCAGCAAAAAAAACCCTCAGTTCGACCTCCTTGGCTGTAATTGGTCCAGCCCAGAATCGATCATGACCAACTGCCCAATCCACCACCATTCATTTATACCGTTAAAAAAAGAAAAGAAATTAAACCCCATCGGCCTATAAAAACGAAAAATGATGGCCAGTCCAGCCCTGGTTGTGGCTAAGCAGCTCACAACAGCTTTGGACAAATGAAGCATTCTTGATGTTTGTCGTTTCAGTGTGGCTTTCGTAGATTTCAAAAACTTTGCCTAAATGTCTGCGGGTGGTTTCAAACGCTGCAGCAAGTCCCCTGACCAAATCTTCTAAGTACTTGCATATGACACCATTACTAATACAGCTACATGGAATTCAGAGTCCATTTTAAGATTCTAGTTCTGACTTTTAAAGCTGTTAATGCACAAGCATCATTTTACATCATTGACCTTCTACATCCCTATATCCCTAGCTGGTCCCTGAGGTCATGTGATCAGGGCCTACTTGTTATACAGCATACTAGGCTGAGAACTAAGGGAGACAGAGCTTTGATTGTGATTGTTTTCTTGCTTTTGCTGCAGATGTAAGGACACGTATTGGGAATTTACTCAAATATATAATGAATAAAGATAAACATTTCCTTACCTTTGTGGCAAATAGCCTCATTTATTGTGTCCATTGTGACTGTTTAGTTGTTGGCTCAACGGAAAATCCAGCAAATGATGCTACAAGAGGGTTCAAGGCCAGGAACATTTATCATAACAGTCACTGAATCGAAGGACCACAGATCCTTCAGAAGCCAAAAACTGATTGGCCTACCAATGTAATGGAAAGCTCCTTAGAACCAGATGACCCTGAAGTCAAAGGTGAGTCCACAGTAAATGTTACTAAAGTACAAGACTTTTCTGATCCTATGTGTTGATTGATAGCGTACTTCTCAGAGTGGAAGAGGCTCGAGGTTGCTGTTGCTTGGTTCCTTAAAATGAAAACAATCCTTTGTGGAATAGGATGTAAAAAAAAAAAGGAAACCGTCATCCTAAGTCAAATAATCATACCTGTAAAAGATGTACAAAAGAAAAGGTGGTCTATCCACAGAAGATTTTCTGGAAGTTGAGCTCGCCCTTATCCGATAATGCCAGCGACAAAGATTTGGAGAAGAGATTGCTACGTCGTTAAGTGGAAGCAATAAATCCCTAGGCTGACATGATAAGTACGGCTGGAGTTACTGGACTTTCTCAGTACCACAACTCTCATTCATAACAGAGGCATCAGATTTCCCTGCCCTCCTTGGGATGTCTAGAGGTAAGAATCAAGTGCACCCAAAGGAACTTTGCATCAGTGGCCATATGCTTACCATGCAGAGCAGATATTCAGAGCTGCTGCAGAGCATTGCAGTTGTAACTTGTTGTTTTATGTGATTAAGTTGTGTGTTAATGAATCTGTAAGTGTTGTTCCTTTGGTAAATTAATTGCCGTGATTGGCCTTACTGAGGTAGATTAACTTTTTTATTTAAAGGTTGCATGTTAGTGCAGGATAAACAGGTTAGTTTGCTGCACTGTGATGGTTTTCATGCTCAGAGTTCGGTTACATTAAGTGTAGCAGAGATGAATTTGAGTTAAGCTGATGGTGCTCAGATTCATTCACTAAATTCCACAGCTGTTTTACTTTTGTACATCAGCCTTTTTTTGTCAATTCCACTAATCAAAACTCTATTTCTGGGAAAATGTCTTCTTGCTAGATTATGAAGTGTGTAAGTATCCTCCCCTTTAGACAGTGTTTCACCTCCTGTAGTGGCAGCGTTACATCTGTTGATTCCCCTGCAGCAATGTGAAGCTTATTCACACTGCCCAAACCCACTGAGTGAGTAGTCATGATATCATTTATGTCATGTGTTTTCCACGATCGCTATGAGACGCAAATGATCAGAATGTGAATGTTAACACATCTTCTTATTTTATTTCCATCACACCAAAACAATAAGCAGTGCACGCCCTTTGACGTCCACACCAAGAAAAAAGCAATGGAAAAATATTTTGTTTGTATTTCTTATTGACTTGGGTGAGTAATAACCACAATCAATATTTTTTTTTCAATAGACCCTGTAGTTTTTAAAATATTGATCTCTACCAAATGCTTGAGAAGTCACTGGTAAAAGTATGAAACGTCATGCAAATACAAGTACATTAGATAATACAGTTGAAAAAATCTAATTATAATTATAATTAAATTAATAACAAACTATCCAGGGCACAATAAACTGTATCCCTGTTTCCAGGGATACAGTTTATTTCTAGTAGCATGCCAGTGACCATTGCTGGCTTTCATCCCATCAAAGGAAAGTATTACATCAAACAACAAAATACATGTTTTTTAATCTGCAAATGTGACAAGTGTGCAACAGCACAAAATTCTCACATTCAGGCCACTTATGATTGAATGCTACAGTGCAAAATCATTTTTGTTTCAAAAATTAAAAATAAAAACAGTGCAAATCAAGCACATCTGCTTGTGGTTTTGGTCTATGGTGTAGCATTTATTCTGTGGTCTTGGAGAGCTGGATCATGGTTGTCCAACTCTAGATGCTGGCTTGTTAACTTGGTTCACACAGCCAGGTGGAAACCTTTTGAGAGCCATCGGTTTCTGATCCAGTAGGGCACAGTTCCTCTTGTAGACCAGGTATTCAAGTCAAGGATGTATCTGAACAGTGGAATATGCTATCTCCGTAACTTATAACTTGTGTAATATCATATCAGAACGCTTAATTCCTCTTATATGCTAATTATATACAGGGATGAGTGATGGGCATGGAATGGTAATCTTTGCATTGGACTCTTTGCTCCACCGTTTGACGAATGAACCACAGGCATTGTTTAGGAGGTTGACACATCTCTTTTCAAACCATTTCATTGCAATCAGACCTTTATCAGAGCCTGTAATAACAGGCTCCATGGCCCTTCTTCATCAGGTTTTTGGTTTTAGTGTGGGAAGCATGATTTTTCTGCTATTGGGGGAGCTCCACCAGTGCAGTTTGGTCATACAGTGCCAATGCACCTGACAGGTGTGCAAGTTCTGCACCAAGCTGAAACTTGTGAAGAGGTTCTTTTATGGGTTTGCATAGTGTTTTTTACAACTTTGGCCCCTTAGAGGTAGCTTCTGTTCCTTTTCACTGGGGGGAGAATTGAAGAATGTAGATCCCCCTTGATACAGCAGCAAGTCATGGATGATGCCAGATGAACTTGCTTAGCAGAACAATTTAAAGCCCAACTCATCAGTAGACCTGTTGTGGCGGTATGCAAATTGTAGAGGGTCCAGTGAGTCGGGTAGTGAAGAGCAAACGAAGTTCCTGACCAGCTTTTCGAAGCATTTACGATGGGGGTCAGGGCTACAGGTCGCCAGTCGTTCAATGCTGTCATGCTTATTAATGCTGTCAAAGTGACATACATCTTTTTAGTAAATCCTCTAACACTACCATGTATCAAAAAATTATATCTTCCTACCTTAGTTTCATCAAAAACACTCAAAATATGTTGGATGATTTTTTGTTTCTGACTTCCTGGTTAGGAGAGGTATAAGAAGAGCCAACCGTTCACATTCACAGTGCTTTCTGGTGGATTTTTTTGGCATTGCAGATGTAAACCAATTGGTAGTGTGGGATTATAATATTATTTTATGCCACGTTAGACCCCTAATTAAAGATTGT